GATCAAAAACAACTTTTTGATACTGAGATATGAATACAAAAAAATATATAATGAAATATATAAACAAAAATGAAATTCATCACCATTTTGCGTTATTTAGAAAATTCAGTAGGAAGTACGAATGTAGTAGAATTTCCATGTTCAACAGTAGTAGCACCACTCCATGGGATAACCATCCATTCAACTGTTAAATTAACTTCTTTTCCAAGTAAATTATTATGGACGCTGACTAAGGGGTATTCAATTCTTTCGTTTGTTAATTGTAAATGAGCCCTTTCTTTCTTTCTGATCATAGTATCCCAAACAGTTGCTGTGTTATGTGGCTATTAATCAGTAACAGTAATTTTTATTTAACTAATGATTTAAAAACAAACAATTTTTTCATCTATAAAGGATGCTTTGACCCAAACAAAAATCATTTTTGTATTCCAATTGAATGATTGTGTAAAGTCAACATCTAAATCAATTGTAAAATCAGAGAAAGAGCTCTTTCTATATGCTTTACTAAAGTGTTAATTTTAAAATAAAAGAAAAAGGAATGTTAAAGTGTAGTATTAAAACAAACATACTACTCGTTGTATTATGTGAGACTGAAGTTATAGGAGGAACATATAATATTAATGATGTTAAGTATAAGAAGAAAACTGCTATACCGAGCCATTGAAAGGCATAATAAATAATATTATACATACGTTCAAAAGTATGATACATTATACAATCTCAAATTAATTAAATTTAAGATTTTTTTCTTTTTTTCTTTTACTTTTTCATAAATTTTATTTTTAAATAAAAATAAATAAATTAATTTTGTTGTTATTAAAAAGTAAATGGTTAAAATGAAATACATTTACTTAAGACTTATGTCTCATCTTAATGACAAACATTCTCACTAAGCCATATAAATGCTTCATTTAACCCTTCATTGTTTGTTGCAGAAACAGATTTAACTAAATATTTTAATTGAATAGTATCAAGTTTTAGTAATTTTGTTAGTTCATCCTCATTAACTGCTCCTTTAATATCTTTTTTATTACCAAGAATCAACAAAGCACAATCTTTGAGTAATTCGTTTTTGCACATTTTTCTTAAAACATCACCAGATTCTTCTATCCGTTCTTTATCAGAAGAATCAATCACGAAGACAAGTCCTTGTGTTCCTTCATAATAATGTCTCCATAAAGGTCGAATTTTACTTTGACCTCCAAGGTCTGTTACTGAAAAGTTAACGTTGTTTATTTTTATTGATTCTATATTAACTCCAATTGTTGGTATTGTCGTAACAGTCTCTCCAAGTCTTAACTGGTATAAAATAGTAGTTTTTCCTGCATTGTCTAGACCAGCCATAACAATGTTTACTTCTTGTATACCAAATAATTTACTTAACCAACTTCCCATATTATAATGACACTCTTTGATCTTTTATTTCTCCTTTAAATAATTTTTATCTCTCAATTAATTTGATGTTATATATAACATTCAGTAAGTCATTTAGTAAAATAAAAAGAATAACGAGATCATTTCACAAAAATCGACCAAAAAGAGATTCAAAAAAAGGTTTGAAAAAAAATTAGAAGTCAAAAAAAGAAAAAAGAATAAAATAAAGAGCAACTAGGAACCCTGGAATTAATAGATCTATTTGAAGGTATGGACAAACAGTCTAAACGAGGACATTCAAAGGTTAATCCGTTGGTAATTTTTGGGAACCAAGAGGGATTAGTTCTTGAGAATGAAGACACAAAATACAGAATATCAAAAATTGTTGGTAGTGGGGCTTTTGGTATTGTTGCATTTGCCGTTGATTTAAATACAAACGAAGTTGTTGCAATTAAAAGAGTAATTCAAGATCGTAGATACAAAGTTTGTTATCGTTATATCAAAACAAAAATAAAATGAGATTTCAACCCTTGAGAAATGACAAATAAAATTAATCTTCTCATTTTGGGATATAAAAGGAAAATTCACTATCCATTCCGAAAAGAGAAAAAATTAACTTTTGTTGTTTTTCTATTTTTATAAAAACAATTACTAGATTTTTATTTCTTAAATCAATACTTAAATAAAATAAAAAGAATGAATATATTAATTATTTAGAATCGTGAATTACAAATGATGGAAATGCTTAAACATCAAAATGTATTAGAACTAAAAAATTATTTTTATAGTAAAGTCTCATGTGTTTGTTATTATTATTAAATATTATTTGTGTTACCGGTTATCCTTGAATGAAGGATCAAACAGAAGAAGTAATTTTTAAGAGAAAAAATGAATATGACATTTACTTTAAATAGACAGAAGACTTATGTTTAAATGTTGTAATGGATTATTTTCCACAAAATTTACATCAATTAATGCATGATTATCGAAGAAGATTACCGATTGGATATACAAGATTATTTTCATATGAATTAGCTAGGGCTCTTGGATATATTCATTCATTTGGAATGTGTCATAGAGATATTAAACCACAAAATATTATGGTTAATAGAGATACTGGTGATTTAAAACTATGTGATTTTGGAAGTGCAAAATTATTAACCCCTGATGAGTCAAATATATCTTATATATGTTCTCGTTATTATAGAGCACCAGAATTAATTTTTGGAGCTACTAGATATAGTACTGCAGTTGATGTCTGGTCATTTGGGTGTGTTGTTGCTGAAATGATAGTTGGTCAACCATTCTTCCAAGGGGAAAGTGCTTCAGATCAAATTACTCGTATTATGAAAATATTGGGATCTCCAACTGTGGATGAAGTTAAAGCAATGAATAATGAAAGTCCATATACAAGAGTCCCACATGTTGGTGGTGTTGGAATTGAAGCTGCTCTTCGTTTCATGAATCCACCATTTACAGCTGTATTAATGTTAATTAAAGTAATGCAATATACTCCAGAAAAGAGACCTACTGCAGTTCAATTAATCACCGACAATTTCCATAAAGATTTATTCACTGAAGGGTTGTTACTACCTAATGGTAATCCACTACCAATTTTAACTAATTATGATGAAAATGAATGGAAGAGAGGAGAAGAAAAAGGGGTTAAAGCTAAAATGGAAAATTTTGTTGAGATGGAGAAAAAGAGAATAAATTCACATCAAACAGTTGCTCCAGTTCCAAAAACAACTGAAGAAAATGCTTAGAAATAATCCATTGTTTAACACTATTTTTTAATTAAGTTCTGTTTATTCAGAAATGATTAATAAAAAATTATAGTAAAGAAAAAAAAAAGAAAAAGGTATGAAGGAAAACAAATGAATTTTATTTTGTAATTAAAGGACCAGTTATTGAAGGATTAAAAGCTGATTTTCCATATCCATTTAATCCTAAATTTTCTAAATGTCTTTTTTTCATTATTTTATATCCATCATTAGTAAAATAATTTCCACCATAAACTTCTAATTCATGATCTGCTGGTTGATTAGTAGAAGGTGCTTTTGTTGGTTCACTATACATATCTTCAAAATGAGGAGAGTTGTTTCTTGTTTTTAAGTAATTAGAAAACATTGATTGACGACGTTGTTCTAATCCCATAATTTTTTGAATATAATTGTGATAAGCATCTTGAGCCATTTGTTGATTTGCCATATTTTGATACATTTGATTTAACATTGGTTTTTGAGAGTCATAAATTTGTTTATTTTGTTGATTTAACATATTTCTAATATCATTTTTGTGTTGAGCAGTTAATTTAGCTTGATCAATTTTTTGTTGTGGAATATTAACTGATTGTACTGGCATAGGGAATGATGTATCATGTGGTCCTTTAACTGATTCAGGTGAAAATTGAGAGAAGTGAGATGCTAAAATGTTAAAATATTTACCTATTTCCATGTTTCTTAATCGTGCATTACATCCTGTTTCTGTTGAGCATTCATCTGCTTTAATTGTTAATCCACAACCTTCAGGTGGTTCTTCTGGAATAGTAACTGTTTCTGGTGCAGGGTCTTCTAATGATTTCATTTTTTTCCCTTGTGGCAATAATCCAATAGCAATTTTTGGTCTAAAGAATGCAGCGACTGAATTAAAATAAGGAACTAATTGACTCAGTTTTTCTTGAACATTACATCCTTCAGCTTCTCTACACCCACTCCATGTTACTTGAAGTCCAATTGGTGGTTGAGCTGGAAAGATAATTTCTTTTGGTAGTCTTATAGCATTTAGTAGTGTAACGAAGATTAAAATTAATAAAATCATTGATTTTGTTTTTTATCCTAAAAATTATGATTTTTTTTAGTTTTTTGTTATTTTTTTAAGATTTTTATTTTTTAATAAAAAAATTAATGTTTTATATAACAAATAAAACATAAAATAAAAAAAAGGTTATTTTATTGTAGTTCAATTGGTTCGAAAGGCATAACGAATTTGTTATGAAGCAACAACGATTTAGTAGTTTCAGA